TTCCCCCAGCCCAGCGCCTGCCCCGTTCCTTAATCAGTAGCTAGGGAGGTAGATGTGTGTCGTCCCCTCTGCGGTGGGTGGGCTCCTCGGGTTCACTGCTCAATCCAACGGCCTGGGTGGGCAAACAGACCCTGGTCCCCATCACCCCATCGCATCCTGGGCTGCGTGGAGGAGCCACCTGCTGGGTTTGGCTCTTGTGTGACCTGCGTTCCTGTGGCCCGGCTCTGTACCTCTGGTTAGGGTTCCAGAAACAGGTGGACATCCCATATGGGCCGCAGCTCAAGTCCCGGCTGCTCCACTTCCTATCCAGCTCCCTGCTCATGTGCCTGGGAAAGCCGCAGAGGATGGCCCAAATGCTTGGGCCCCTGCACCCACGCGGGAGACCAGGATGAAGCTCCTGGCTCCTGGTTACAGCCCTTTGTGGGATGAACTAGCAGATGGAAGACCTCTCTCTCTCTTCCTGTAAGTCTGCCTCTCAAGTAGATAAAATAAATCATAAATTAAAGGATCTCGGGGCTGGCGCTGTGGCACAGTGGGTTAAAGCCCTGGCCTGAAGCGCCAGCATCCCATATGGGGGTGCCGGTTCTAGTCCCAGCTGCTCCTCTTCCAATCCAGCTCTCTGCTATGACCTGGGAAAGCAGTGGAAGATGGCCCAAGTCCTTGGGCCCCTGCACCCACGTGGGAGACCCGGAAGAATCTCCTGGCTCCTGGCTTCGGATCGGCACAGCTCCGGCCATTGTGGCCATCTGGGGAGTGAACCAGTGGATGGAAGACCTCTCTCTCTCTCTCTCTGCATCTCTACCTCTCTCTGTAACTCTGTCTTTAAATAAAATCAATCTTTTTAAAAAATAAATTAAAGGATCCCTGCAGAAGTTGAGGACACGAGATCTGGGCAGGGGAAGTGTGTGGGGGCCTCGGGGCACCTCTGAGTCATGAGGCAGGCGCGTGTGCCTGAGTGCCCCCCCCCCTCCCCCGGCCCCGTGCTAACCGCCGGGAGGAGGCAAGCCTTCCAACTGACAACTCCTGGGGCCTCGGGCAGGGCAGCGTTCTCGGTACATCATCGAGAGCCTGGCGGTGGGAGGAAGCGGCCATCAGCGGGCTTTCTGAAAACGCGGACCCTCTGCTCTTTGAAGGAAACCGTAACAGAATGCGGGAAAAGACAAGATGCCCATGGGAGGAACGATTGGCCAAGAGTGTGTCTGATAAAAAGACGGCATTCCAGCTGCAGCGCGAGCTGGCAGACTCAGGGCAGCCGTTTGGCTTAGCCGTTACAGGTCCCAGGGCCCAGGTTCAGCGCTCAGCACTGCCCCCCCCGCCCCAGCCCAACTTCCTGTCAGTTTGTACCCTGGGAGGCAGCGGGTGATGGCTCCGGCCCTTGGGTCCCTGCGGCCAGCCCCGGCCACTGCAGGTATCTGGGGAGTGAAGCGGTGAATGGGAGCTCCTGTGTGATCTCTCTCAAAGAAATCCATACGCAAATACTGAACACTGAAAAAGAGAGTACTGCCTGGGAATGGCCTTGTGGCTCACTGGGCTAAGCCACCACCTGCGGTGCCGTAATCCCATGTGGGGGTTGGTTCGGGTCCTGGCTGCTCCACTTCTGGTCCAGCTCCCTGCTAATGGCCCAGGAAAGCAGTGGAAGATGGCCCAAGTCCTTGGGCCCCTGCACCCACGTGGGAGACCCAGAGGAAGCTCCTGGCTCCTGGCTTTGGCCTGGCCATTGGAGCCATTTGAGGAGTGAACCAGTGAATGGAAGACCTCTCTCTCTGCCTCTGCCTCTCTCTGTAACTCTTTAAAATCAATCAATCTTAAAAAATAAAGAAGAAAAAAGAGAGAGAGAGAATCCAATGTCCTAGGGTCCACACTGGTGTATTTCACAACTACTCACTGGTCCTTCCTTGGCGCCCGACACTGCTCGGAGCCCTTGACAAACGTAAACACGTGGAGTTGTTCCTGCCATCTTGTCACACCGTTGCTACTGCTCTGCGCAGGAGGGCGGCTGGCACAGAGACCCAGGTGGCTTATTCAAGGCCACACAGCCTGGCCCAGCCCCGCTCCTTGGGGATTCAGCCCGTAGCTACTCGCTTCCTCCTTGTCACCCTGCCACTCATAGTAAGAGACCTCAATTAAGCTCCCAGCTCGGGCCTGGCCCAGCCCCAGCTGCTGTGGCCGTTGGGGGGGTGAACCAGCGGGTGGAAGGTCCCCTCTGCCTGTCTCTGTCTCTCTGCCTTGCAAATGAGTCAAAAATACATTTAAAACAATTTCTTTAACCACCACAAATACCATTTTTGCACCTACCATATGGGCAAAAAAATTTAGATTCTGAGGCTATAAATCAACCAGAACTCTCAAATTCTTTTTTTTTTTTTTTTTTTTTAAGACTTATCTGGGGCCGGCGCCGTGGCAAAGCAGGTGAAGCCTCCGACTGCAGCGCCTGCATCCCATATGGGCGCCGGTTTGTGTCCCGGCTGCTCCACCTCCAATCCAGCTCCCTGCTAATGGTCTGGGAAAGCAGTGGAGGGTGGCCCAAGTGCTGGGGCTCCTGTACCCTCATGGGAGACCCAGAAGATGCTGCTGGCTCCTGGCTTCAGATCAGCCCAGCTCCAGCTGTTGTGGCCATTCGGGGAGTGAACCAGTGGATGGAAGACCTTTCTGTCTGGCACTCTCTCTGTAACTTTGCCTCTCAAATAAATATTTTTTAAAAAAGATTTATTTTTTTAAAATTTACTTGAAAGGCAGAGGTACACAGAGAGAAGGAGAGACAGAAAGCCCCAGATGGTCGCAATGGTTGGAGTTGGACCAGTCTCAAGCCAGGAGCTTCTTCCAGGTCTCCCAGGTGGATGCAGGGACCCACGGACTTGGGCCCATTCTCTGCTGCTTTTCCAGGCACATTAGCAGGGAGCTGGATCAGAAGTGGAGCAGCCAGGACTCAAAGCAGGGCCCATAGGGGATGCCAGCATCAAGCATGACAGCTTTACCTGCTACACCACAGCGCCAGCCCTGGAACCCTCAAATTCTGCAAGTGGAAAATAACGACCGGTGGACCCTTTAAAGATGCCAGCCAGGTACCAGGAAGGAAGCACTGTTCTCACCCAGTCCTCAGGTGACCACACGCGCACTAAGAGATTGCCCAGGGCCGAGGCTACCCAGCTCGTAAGTGGCTTGGACTCAGAGAGGCAGGCTCTTAACTTTACATTACACAGAGTCTCAGTGGGTGGGTCAGAATTTAAACAGCAGCTCCGGTCTTGAAGCGAGAGATTTCACTACAATGCTGTTCTTAGGAGAAACTCTTGCATGTGCATAGACTTGTCCAGGTCCAGCATTGTAGCACAGGTTAAGCCAGCATCCCGGCCAGTGCAGCGGCTCACTAGGCTAATCCTCCGCCTAGCGGCACCGGCACACCGGGTTCTAGTCCCGGTCGGGGCGCCGGATTCTGTCCCGGTTGCCCCTCTTCCAGGCCAGCTCTCTGCTGTGGCCCGGGAGTGCAGTGGAGGATGGCCCAAGTCCTTGGGCCCTGCACCCCATGGGAGACCAGGAGAAGCACCTGGCTCCTGCCTTCAGATCAGTGTGGTGCAAAGGAAGACCTTTCTCTCTCTCTCTCTCTCTCTCTCACTGTCCATTCTGCCTGTTTAAAAAAAAAAAAAAAAAAAAGCCAGCATCCCACTTCCGAGTGCCAGTTCGAGTCCCGGCTGCTCCACTTCTGACCCAGCGCTCTGCTAATGTCCTGGGAAAGCAGCAGAGGATGGCTCAAGTGCTTGGGCTCCTGCACCCACATGGGAGACCCAGGAGAAGCTCTGGGCTCCTGGCTTCTGCCTGGCCCAGCTCTGGTCTTTGTAGGCATTTCAGAGAGAACCAGCAGATGGAAGATCTCTATCTTTATCTCTCTCTTTTAAATAAAATAATAATAATATAAAGAAATAGAATCATGGGGGAAACTGAGGCAGAACCGTCTAGGCCGGGCATCCACACGCCTCCGTCCTTCAGGGCAGCGGTGGAAGCGGGAGCGGGAGGGCAGCCGTCCCAGATACTGTTTGACCAAGCCATGCCTCCCTTCTTTCTGGCTGTCGGCCTCCCGGGGAGGGGATTTAGGGCAAGAGGATTTTTCTGTCTTAAATCAGCTAAGAAGTTTAGACAGGGTATTTTCAGCAGGTGCTCTTTGTCCAGATGTTTTTAGCTAAAAAAGATCTTTATGCCACTCAACTGCCTTTGGATCCCGAAGTGTATGGTCCAAAATAGCTTCACTCTGCCCATTCTGCAAAAAGCAGAAAATCTCTGTCGCCCCCTGGCGCACAGCCGGGACTTTGCCCAGATGCTTGGGCTGGAATCGGCTCCTGCCTGCGGCTCAGTTTACCCTTCTATAAAATGAGGGTATGAATGGTACCTACCTCACAGAGTTGGGAACTGAATGGGTTAACAGGGGCGGGCCTTAAGCCTAGAAATTAAGCCAAACCTGTGTCTGGGGCCGGCGCTATGGCGTAGTGGGTAAAGCGGCCGGCTGCAGTGCCAGCATCCCATATGGGCAGAGGTTCTAGACCCGTCTGCTCCTCTTCCGATCCAGCTCTCTGCTATGGCCTAGGAAAGCAGTAGATGGTGGCCCAAGTCCTTGGGCCCCTGCACCTGCATGGGAGACCTGGAAGAACCTCCTGGCTCCTGGCTTCAGCCGTTGCAGCCAATTGGGGAGTGAACCAATGGATAGAAGATCTCTCTCTCTCTCTCTCTCTCTCTCTCTCTCCCTGGCTCTCCTTTCTCTCTCGTGTAACTCTGACTTTCAAATAAGTAAATAAATCTTTAAAAAAAAAAAAGAAGAAGACACCCAGTCGGCGCCACGGCTCACTAGGCTAATCCAACAGGGATTCTGTCCCTGTTGCCCCTCTTCCAGGCCAGCTCTCTGCTGTGGCCAGGGAGTGCAGTGGAGGATGGCCCAAGTGCTTGGGCCCTGCACCCGCATGGGAGACCAGGAAAAGCAGCTGGCTCCTGGCTTCGGATGAGCGCGGTGAGCTTACCCCAGCGCACCAGCCGCGGCGGCCATTGGGGGGTGAACAAACGGCGAAAGGAAGACCTTTCTCTCTGTCTCTCTCTCTCTCACTGTCCACTCTGCCTGTCAAAAAAAAAAAAAAAAAGACACTCATGGTTTAATGAGTTAAGTTGCCTGCTGCAACTCTGGCATCCCCTCTGGTCCCTGGTTCTGCTCCACTTCCGATCCAGCTCCCTGCTCATGTGCCTGGGAAAGCAGCAGAAAACGGCCCACATGCTTGGGCTGCTGCACCCTGTGGGAGACCTGGATGGAGCTCCAAGTTCCTGGCTCCTGAGAGTAAATCAGTGGATGGAAGATGTGTGTGTGTGTGTGTGTGTGTTTGTGTGTGTGTCTCCTCCCTCTCTGTCTCTGTAACTCTTTCAAATAAATAAATAAATCTTACCTGGGTTCAAGGCCTGGCTTTGCTCCCAGTTCCAGCCTCCTGATAACGCAGACCCTGGGAGTCAGCCGTGGTGGCTCAGGTGGGTCCCTGCCTCCCGACGGGGAGACCCGGACTGAGTTCCTGGCTCTTGGCTTCAGTCTGACTCAGCCCCAGTCTTTGCTGGCATCTGAGGAGTTGAACTGGTGGATGGGGCGTCTCTGTCTCTCGGTCTCTTGTAAGGCACATGAAAGAGTGCCTGGTCCCTGGCAAATACCAGGTAAGGGTTAAAGAACGTTAATTTCCTTGTTTGCAAGGAAATCTTTCACTGTGACGTAATAGAGTGGAACACTGCTCTCGGAATTTGTGCGTGTGGAGTCTTGCGTCTCTCAGCGAGTTTTCTCCCATATTTTTTTTCCTACGTCTTCACATTCTCACATTTCTTTATTTATGCAGAACTCAGCTCCCGGTGCAGTGCATGTGGGAGGTGCACTTGTAGATTTCCCCACAGGGGAATCCGTTCTCCCACACGCCACGCAGCACTCACTGACCCAGCAGACTCGCCCCCGCCTGGTAGCTCCTGATCCCAAAACAGCTGCCTGTGCGCAGCGATCGCCTCCATGCCCCGTCTGCACCTGCTTTCCCTCCAGGCCGTTTTTGTTGCTAAGGAAGTTCCCAGAGGGTGGAGGAGCATTTTCTATTATTATTATTTTTTTAATTTGAAAAGCAGAGTTACAGGGGCGGGGGTGGTGAGAGGGAGAGAGAGAGAGAGAGAATCTTCTACCCGCTGGTTCACTCCCTCAATGGCTGCAGTGGCTGGGGCTGGGCCAGGCTGAAGCCAGGAGCCAGGAGCTTCATCCAGGTCTCCCACGCGGGTGCAGGGACCCAAGCACTTGGGCCATCCTCCACTGCCCTCCCAGGAGCAGTAGCAGGGAGCTGGACCAGTAGCTGGGCAGCAGGACTTAGACCAGTGCTCTGATGCGGGATGCTGGCCCCACAGGCAAGCGGTGGCTTCGCCGCTGTGCCAAGCACTGGCCTGATGGTCTTGTTGTGCTGTGTTCCTTGGTGCCTACAACAGTGGCTGGCACACAACAGGTGGGCGGTGACTATCTCCACAGACACCTTGGGAAGTGTCTCAGGGATAAGGTCAGCCCGCACCCCCTGCTGGTGCGCAGTGTTTTCTGGAGCCGCAGTCTCTCCTGGTCACGCAGATCAGGTCAAGGCTGTGGAGCTGGCCTCCTAACCTCCCCTCCTACCCCTGGGGCGGCTCCCAGCCCCGGGAGTGCTCAGACCTGGGCTGCTGGTTTTTGACCAGCAGCGGAATGCAGAGGGCGCCCGCACTGACGTGTGGAGGAGGACGTGGAGGGGCGGAGCCCGGAGATTGGAAGACCAGGCCACAAAGCCACACGGTCCGCTCTTCTGGAAGGCAGGGCTGCCGCTCCTTGCCCTGAATGCAAGGGCATACCGCCTAGTGCAGTGAGCCTAGGGGCTCCAGCCGGGCCCGCCCACCATCCTTGCAGCCAACAGAAGTACAGGTGCGCCCTTGTGTGCGTCCAAGTGGGAGTCGCTCAGCCCTGAACTCTGGCTCCGCAGGAGGAAGCCTCAGCTCACCTTCTCCTCCATCCTCTCGGCACCTCTTCCCTCACCGCCTCTCTCCAGTATCTTTTTAAAGACCCATTACCTTGGGGCCTGCACTGTGGAGCAGCAGGTTAATGCCCTGGCCTGAGTGCCGGCATCCATATGGGCGCCGGTTCGAGACCCAGCTGCTCCTCTTCCAATCCAGCTCTCTGCTGTGGCCTGGGAAAGCAGTGGAAGATGGCCCAAGTCCTTGGGCCCCTGCACCCGCATGGGAGACCCGGAAGAAGCTCCTGGCTCCTGCCTTTGATTGGCACAGCCCTGGCCGTTGCAGGCAGCTGGGGAGTGACCAGTGGATGGAAGACCTCTCTCTCTCTCTCTCTCTCTCTCTCTCTCTCTTTCTCTCTGTAACTCTGTCTTTCAAATAAATAAATCTTTCCAAAAATCCATTATCTATGTATATTTAATGTTTTAAATTTTTTTTAATACAGCCAACTGGGGGCCGGTGCTGTGGTGTTAGTAGGCTGAGTCTGTGGTGCCAGCATCCCATATGGGTGCTGCTTTGTGTCCCGGCTGCTCCACTCCCATCCAGCTCCCTGCTAATGCACCTGGGGAGGCAGTAGAAGATGGCCCAAGTGTTTGGGCCCCTGCACCTGCATGGGAGACTCGGAAGAAGCTCCTGGCTCCTGGCCTTGATCTGCTCTGCTCCGGCCGTTGCAGCCATCTGAGGAGTGAACCAGTGGATGCAAGACCTCTCTCTCTCTCTCTCTGCCTGTGCCTCTCTTAAACTCTTTCAAATAAATAAAATCTTTAAAAATTTTTTAAAAGGAACTTTTCATTATTACTTATTTGAGACTGAGAAATGCAGGCACAGAGTGAGAGCGAGAGCATGAGAGAGAGAGAGAGAGATCCCGCCTGCTGGTTCCCTCCCCAGTCACCAGGACAGGTAGGGGACAGAAAGTAGGAGCTGGGGACTCAATCCAGGCCTCTCACGCGGGTGGCCGGGCCTCAGCTACTTGAGCCATCGCCTCTGCCTCCCAGGGTGGGCAGCGGCAGAGAGCTGGAGTCAGGAGCCGGAGCCAGGCGTCGACCCGGGCACCGCGGTGTGGGACAGGGGCGTCCCAGCCAGTGTCCCAGCTGCTAGGCCCACCTAGTCTAGGATGCTGAGGCCGCCCACCCATGAATCGGCTGCGTCCCTCTGACCAGGGCTCTCCTTTGAGGAGAGTCTTCGTTAGGGTGGCTTCACAATTCTGCGGGTTCTGTGTCCCGGTCCCCCAGGGTCCCCTCATCTGTAGTCTGCAGAAAGGGAAAGCAGGCTGAAGAATGGACACTCAGGAGGGGCGGAGCTGAGACCAGATCGCCCAGCCCAGCCCCTCGCACGCGCACTGCTCCCGTCTCGGACCCCCCCCCCCCATTTCCTGAACACCCCCCACCCCAGCCCAGTAAAGACTGCAGTGGATGGATCCATCGCCATCCGACCTCCAGGTGACAAAGCAAGACAGGGCACAGGGGACATACCGGAGGGCCGGCCCACACTTGGTCACTTTACTTTAAGATCTGCACGAAGAGAGACGCGGCATAGATATAGAGAAGAGCAATGAGGACGCAGGTGGCCTGGACCTGCTGCGCGAGGGTCTGCTGGGACGAGGCTCTGGACGCCATCTTGCTCGCCCGACGGCTCCGGAACCTGGTGCTCAGGGGTATGCCCGTGGCCCCGAAGCCGCCTCTTCCTTCGCCCTCGCTGGCGTCCGTGTCTTCAGCCACAAGGCACAAGCTGATGCAGGCCGGCGAGAGCTTCCTCAGGGCGGCGGGGTCAGGTCCCGGGAAGCGCTGGCTGAAAGGGACGCTGGTGGCTGGGAGGCTGGTGGTGACGGCAGCCAGGTCTCTGGAGGCCGCCCAGCGCTGCCTGGCCCACACGGCCCAGGTCATCTGTCCCCGGGCCGCCCAGAGTCTGTCCAGGCCGCGGACCAGCAGGGACACGGCCACCTGCCGCAGCACCGCCTGCAGCAGCAGCTCCAGGGCCTTGCTGTTCTCGTGGTGGAAGTCGACCAGGCTGTAGTAGGCCCACTGGGCCACGGAGACCAGGGCCAGGCCGGCCTCCCCGCGCAGGTGCCGCAGCAGCCGCAGGAGGCAGCGGCGGGCTCCGCGGAGCAGGGCGGCGAGCAGCTGGAGGCTCCAGGCCCGCGCCGTGGTCAGCGGCTGCCACAGGGCCCGCTGGAGGGGCAGCCACATGTCCGCGCAGAGCCGCCGGGCCAGGATGGGGACGAGCGCCCCGCCAGCCAGCGGGCTGCTGCGCCACAGGATGCAGAGGCCCAGCATGGAGAGGCAGTGCGAGGCCACGCTGGCGCCCTCCACTTGCAGCCCCAGCAGGGGCGCGTAGACGCTCACCAGGCCCAGGCTGCACAGGAACAGGGGCAGAAGCTGCCAGGCGCCCCGGCCCAGCCAGCCTCTGCTCTGCAGGGCTCCCCCCCAGCAGCCGGTGGTGGAGCCGGGCCGGGGGCCCTCATGTCCGGAACGCTCTGCGCCCAGGCTCCCGTCCCGGGGGCATAGGGCGGTATTCATGCCACAAGCCCATAGCAACTGGCCCTCTGCGCCCAGTGCCCTGCCATCTGGGCCAGGTGCTTTTGCAACAATCGCTGACAGCACAAACGATGAGGCTGTGAGGCTTTGTTGCTTAAGGGGGCAGGCTGGGCTTGGACAGGGTGCCAGGAGCTCCCGCGGCACCCCGCAATTCAGCAGGAAGTGGTCTCCCCACCCCCGAGCCCCGTGGGATCCCGCCCTGCGCCCGGGCTCCCCGTCTTTCAACACAACCTCAAGTTCAGGGCACCTGAAGGAAGTGACAAGGCCTCCACTGATTTCTGCGTATTCCCTGTGGGTCCTTTTCGTGTTTTATTTGAACAAATAATCTCTTACACCGAAAGCATGAAGCATTTAGATAGGAAAATGTTAGTAATCAATATTCCTCTGTACAAATGTACGCAGCCATCTATCCATACAGGCACAGGTAGCCGTGGAGATGTTTGCATTTGAATTCCACTGTTTATAAAAGATTTACTTATAGAAGGAACGGTCTGAAGGATAATAAGGGGTTTCTGTACACAAGGGACGCCTAGCACTTGCTGAAGTAGTGATTTTTTTTCCAGGTCTGAAGAAAGAACAGGTGCACGTAAATGGACCCTCAAGCATTGGAGGATGTCAGAAATGGAATTTTCAAATCAGACAGTCATTTTAGTCTTCCTAATAAAGCTGATTTCCTTTAAAAAATAAAAAGATTGACTTATTTATTTGAAAGAGTTACAGGGGCCGGCGCCATGGCAGTATAGCAGGTAACGCCGCCGCCTACAGTGCCGGCATCCCATAATGGCACCAGTTCGAGTCCTGACTGCTCCACTTCCAACCCAGCTCTCTGCAATGGCCTGGGAGGGCAGTAGAAGATGGCCCAAGTGCTTGGGCCCCTGCACCCACGTGGGAGACCTGGAAGAAGCTCCTGGCTCCTAGTTTCGGATCGGCACAGCTCCGGCTATTGTGGCCAATTAGGGAGTGAATCACGGATGGAAGACTCTCTCTCTCTTGCCAGGGGCTTCCGGATGACCCCTACCACGCCTTCCTGCACTGGCTCTGTCCCGTGTGTCCCGTGCGCCTCACAGGGCCCCGTACAGGAGCAGGCAGAGCACGCTCGGCACACGTTTGCCGAGGACAGGAACCAGAGCCCCTCCCTGGGCAGACAGGGAAGGGAGGCCGATGGCAATGACCGGGGAGCAACGCGCAAACCGGAAGCCCGGCAGGCTGTGGACGCTCGCCTGGGAACCAGCGATTCCCCTGAGGGACTCACGTGCTCAGATCTTCAGTGGCGTTGGTCGTTTCCTTTTTAACCATCAACATAATTTTTTTAAAGGTTATATTCAGTTATTTGAAAGACACAGTTACAGACACAGAGAGGTCTTCCACCTGCTGGTTCTCTCCCACATGGCTGCAATGGCTGGAGCTGTGCCAATCTGGGGCCAGGAGCCTCCTCTAGGTCTCCCACTGCTTTCCCAAGCCATAGCAGAGAGCAGCTGGGACTCAAACCAGTGCCCATACGGGGCCGGCGCTGCAGGAGAGTGGAAGCGGGGGGCAGGTGCTGTGGGCCGGTGGACGCTCGCACGCACCCCGTGTGGAAGAGCCTGGTTCGAGCCCTGGCTACTCTGCTTCTGCTCCAGCTTCCTGCTAAGGCACAGCTCAGGGGGCAGATGATGGCTCGAGTGCTTGGGTTCCTGCCCCGTAAGTGGGAGACCCAAATGGAGGTTTGGGGTCCTGGCTTTGGCCTGGCTCAACCACAGGATGGAAGATAGCTCTCTCCCTTTCAAATAAACTTTTTTTTTTTTTTAAATAAAGGAAATTGAAGTGAGATGCAGAGCTGAACTGACTTATTTGAGCCAGCTGACTGTCGGATTGACTGAAACTTGGCTATTAGTTACGTGAATGTGCACTGCTTTTTCCTTACAATTTATGTTATCTACTCGAAGGGCAGAGTTAGAGAAAGATCTTCTATCTGCTGGTTCACTCCCTCAGTGGCTGCTACAGCCAGGACAGGGCCAGGCCCATGCTGTGAGCCCAGAACTCCACCCAGGTCTCCCAGGGGGCGCAGGGACCCCAGCACGTGGCCCGTCCTCCACTGCTTTCCCAGGTGCATTACCAGGGAGCTGGATCGGAAGTGGAGCAGCCAGGACGAGAACCGGCGCCCACATGGGATGCTGGTGCCACAGGCAAGCGGCTTACCCCGCTGTGCCGCGCCCCGGCCCCTCTGTTCTAAGCTAGAGTGACTCCATCTGGCTGGGCTGACGGCCCAGTGCCCTACACACTGTGCTTAGCGCTCCCCTCCGTACTGGGGTCCCGGGCAGAGCGGGCCCTCAGAGAGAATTTCCGGAGGGAGCGGCTCAGGGGCCCAAGCTCCGTCTGCAACGAGGGGGTCATGGGACCCCAAGTCTGCAGCTGTGTGAACCCCACCCTGGTCAGATGGGCTTCAGCTCCGCCCTCACTGCCCCTGCTGTCCTGTGATCGCCCTCCTGGCCGGAAGCTTATTAATATTATTTTTTCTGTAAACAAGAGGACGATGCAGGTCTACCCCGTTGTCTGCAACAGTGAAATTAAAATTTTTTTTTTTCTTGGGAGGGACCCGAGCTCTGAACGGAGGTACAGCCGTTTCGAGTTGGTGCTCCTCGGCCACATCTCCACTCTGTGCTTCAGTTCCCGCTGACACACGGAACATTCCAGAAGGTCACCATAATCGTGGCATGCTTGTGTTGGAAGGGCTGTACTGTCGTCACCGCTTACTGGATTCTCACCCCGTCAGAGGGTGCCTACGGGAACACGAGCACTTAGGGTGCAGGTCCACTGGGGCCCGAGCCGCATCCGTGGCAGGCCAGGAAGGGGGGACCACGGTGCACCCTTCCTTATGGAAAGGGGCCGGGGAGGGTGCCGCCCTGAAGGCGGATTTTGAAACGCATCTGGGGTGCAGGCCCGCCAGGATGGGGTGAGGACTGTTAGCAGCAGGTGCAAAGGCCACGGCGGTGGACACTGGCCTGGGCGCCGGCCAGGGAGGCAGGGACGCAGCGCGGGGCCCGCCCGGCGACCTGGGCTCCCAGGAGCCCAGGGCTGGACGCAGGCTCGCCGCCGAGGCCCTCGGCACGAAGCGGGGGCCGCCACGGGGCGAGCGCCGAAAGGAAGCGGGCTACAGGCAAGGCGCAAGCTCGGGCCAGTCCCTCCGACGCAGACCTCTGCCCAGCTCACTGCGCCTGCCGACCCAGCGCGCCGCCGGAAATGGGCTGCCCTGGGCGGGCTGCGGCGCACCGCTGCTCCAGACGTTCGTCCGCGCCCCAGGAACGCAGCGGCGCCGCCATTTTTCGTCATCATTAAGTTTGACTTCTGTCGAACACCGTAGATTCGCTCCAAGCCCTGAATCCGCGTCCGTGTGGCGTCTCAACTAAGTTTGAGCCCAATCACTTGCCATAGCGTCCCTGATGCGGGTGTCCGCCCCTAGTAAAACGAACGAGCATGCGTGGAAATGGCACCCGAGGGCGCCCTCTGACCCGACGTCCGCCGCGGGCGCGCGCCCGTACGCCGGAAGAGGCGGGGCCAAGAATGACTTTATATATCGCGCTCCGCCGGGCCGCAGCCCTCTACCGGCTGGATAGGCGGCACGATGGTACGTGGCGTCTTGGGTGCTTTCTCTCTGTTGCCGATTCCGGCGTGGCCTCATCCGCCGGTCATCGTCGGCATCCTCGCTTGGCCTGAACCGGGAGCCACCCCTGGGAACACGGGGGACACAGTGGCGTCGGCGGTCAGGCTTATTTCTTAGCGTGCGGCGGACTGGTCAGCCGCTGGGCGGCCGGGCGGGAGGAGGCCCGGGAGCCGGGCGCTCGCTGTGAGGGCGGCCCTGTCGGGGGCTCGGCACCGCGTCCGGGAGACCGCGGGGGCAGGCGCGGGGCGCTGCGCCGGCGCCGTGGAGGGGAGTCGGGGCGAGGACCGATCGGGCGGGGGTGTGAGGTCCCGGAGCCGCAGGTGATGAACTCACTGACGGGCGGACAGAGTCCTTGTGCTGATCGTCAGGTTCTGATGGGGCTCTGGGGGGGCCGGGCGGCACGTGCGCGAGTGGGTGGGGGCGTCCCGGGGCCGTGCGGAGCTGCGCGGCCGAGCTGGCCTGCTGCAATGGGCTCCGAGCGCGAGGACGAGCGTCCGACTCCCCGGGGCTGGGCGCTGACGGGGTGCCGTCTGCAGTCGCACAGGAAGTTCTCGGCGCCCAGGCACGGGTCCCTGGGCTTCCTGCCCCGGAAGCGCAGCAGCCGGCACCGCGGCAAGGTGAAGAGCTTCCCCAAGGACGACCCGAGCAAGCCCGTGCACCTCACCGCCTTCCTGGGCTACAAGGCCGGCATGACGCACATCGTGCGGGAGGTGGACCGGCCGGGCTCCAGTGCGTGCGGGGCCGGGGGCGGGAGAGGGCCGCGGGCTCGCAAGGTCTGTGGGGGCAGCGGCTGGCCTGGGGTCTCCCTGCAAAGCCGCGTGGTGGGAGGCGCGCCCCGGGCGCGGAGCCGTGGGGTCTCCTTAAGCGCTTGCCAGCTGCTCCGGGCGGTGTCGTCCCGCCGCGGGGGCAGGCTGCAGGCGGCACCGGGGCCCTGCCTGAGCCGGCTGCCCGCCTCAGCCTCCGCTCTCTGAACTTCAGAGGTGAACAAGAAGGAAGTGGTGGAGGCCGTGACCATCGTGGAGACCCCGCCCATGGTGGTCGTGGGCATCGTGGGCTACGTGGAGACCCCGCGGGGCCTCCGCACCTTCAAGACGGTGTTCGCCGAGCACATCAGTGACGAGTGCAAGAGGCGCTTCTACAAGAACTGGTGAGGCCGGGCCGCAGGCCGGAGCCTCGGGCGGGGGCGGGGCTGACACGGTCTGCTCCTCCTAGGGGTGGGGGGCTCCCTGAGCACGGCCCCTGCCCCCGGGGAGGGCGCCCGGGGCCTCCCCCACAACCGGGGAGGGCCGTGCGCACGTGCAGCATTAACCTTGTGGCCTCCGCTCAGCTCCGCTCGGCTCTGTCCGATGAGCTCCATCCAGGCTCCGCTTGCCGCTGCAAAGCCGGCAATGAGCCGCCCGCCACAGGCACCGTGGGCCTCCCGCCCCCACGGCGGGTGATGAAGGCCTGGCGCGGACCCCCCCCCCCCGCTCTGCCCCTGAAGGCACAAGTCGAAGAAGAAGGCCTTCACCAAGTACTGCAAGAAGTGGCAGGACGACGCGGGCAAGCGGCAGCTGGACAAGGACTTCAGCAGCATGAAGAAGTACTGCCAGGTCATCCGCGTGCTGGCGCACACGCAGGTGAGCCCGCGGCCGGCAGGGGGCGCCACGCGGCCCCAGAGCTGCCTGAGGCGGCGTTCCCAAGCTCCCCTCGCTGGTTCCGTCCCTGGGCGGCCACAGCAGCTGGCCAGGCGTTCTTCCCAAGTGGGTGCAGGCGCCGTGGACTTGGCCGTCTTCAGCTGGCCTGTTAGCGGGGAGCAGAGATGGGACCGTCCACATGAGATGCCAGCTTCACTGGAGGGGGGCTCCAGCCACAGGCAGCTGCCGCCCTTTGACCCTGACTGCTCCGATCCAGATGAGCACGGGGTTTGGGTAGAGCAGGCGGGGCTGTGGTCTAGTGCAGGGTCTGCCGTGTGCCGGCAGCTGCAGCCCCACCCCACAGGGACAGGGACACTGGGTCGCCTGTGGTGCTGTTGGCGGAAGCGAGGTTCCACACTCTGAGGCTCGCTCTCGTAGCCCGGCATTGTCCCTGGGGTCAGACGGCGCCCAGCCTCAGTTCTGCGCGGTCGGAGCGGCGCCGAGGGGGCCTGGGCTGAGCCGCGTCTCCTCCTAGATGCGCCTGCTGCCGCTGCGGCAGAAGAAGGCGCACCTGATGGAGATCCAGGTGAACGGCGGCACCGTGGCCGAGAAGCTGGACTGGGCCCGGGAGCGCCTGGAGCAGCAGGTCCCGGTGAGCCAGGTGTTCGGCCAGGACGAGATGATCGACGTCATCGGCGTGACCAAGGGCAAGGGCTACAAAGGTGAGCGCAGGCGGCCCTGTGGACCCGCCCTCGGCGCCGGCTGTTCAGGGATGAGGCACGGAATGAGCGCTGGCACAGCGCCCGAATCGCCCTGTGGAACCATTCCCTGTTGCCTTCCTTCTGAGAACAGTGGGGCGGCTTGGGGGCGGGGCGGCGTGCAGGGGCCACCTGAGTGAACTCTGGTCACGCACGTGTCCTCCAGGGGTCACCAGCCGCTGGCACACCAAGAAGCTGCCCCGCAAGACGCACCGAGGGCTGCGCAAGGTGGCCTGCATCGGCGCATGGCACCCGGCGCGTGTGGCCTTCTCTGTGGCACGGGCTGGGCAGAAAGGCTACCACCACCGCACGGAGATCAACAAGAAGGTGAGGTGCTGGCGTGGCCCCGGGGGCGGTGCAGGGTTGGGTGCAGGCTGTGATCTCCCAAGGGGCCGACAGTTGGCTTTGCCGGTTGGGGTGGCTGTAAGGTGCATTCACGTGCCCTTGTCTGGGGGTGCAGCATTGAAGAGATTACCCATCCTGGTTCACAAGCGGCCTCTGGCCAGGGCCGGGCTGGGCTGACGCCAGGAGCGTCTTCGGGTCTCCCCACACAGGTGCCCAGTGAGTGGCTCCAGCGCTTGGGCCACCGTCCACTGCCTTTCTGGCCGCTGGGAGACATTAGCAAGAAGCTGGGTCAAACGGAAACTGGCGCCCGTAGGGGATGCTTTACCTGCTGCACCTGCCCCTGTGCTGCGCCAGCCCATGTGTAGCGGGTTTCATTGAGGCCCTAGAAGTCCAGTGCAGGCCGGCCCTAGGCTTGTGGGCGGGTCTTGCTGCCCCGCCCCTCCCCGCATTCACTCTGTTCCTCCCACTCAGATCTACAAGATCGGCCAGGGCTACCTGATCAAGGACGGCAAGCTGATCAAGAACAACGCCTCCACCGACTACGACCTGTCAGACAAGAGCATCAACCCCCTGGTGAGCGCGCACGGCCCCGCATGGCCCCGCCGCGCTTCCGTGATGAGGCCTGGAATGAGCACCGCGTGGGTGCCTGAATCCCGCTGTGGAACTATTCCTGTTGCCTTCCTTCTGAGAAGAGCGGCGGGGACTGCCCCCATGTCCCCCATGCCCCCATGTCCCCCATGCCCCCTGTGCCCCCCGCGGTGCCTGCTGACCACGCCCTTGTTTGCAGGGTGGCTTCGTGCACTATGGGGAAGTGACCAACGACTTCGTCATGCTGAAAGGCTGCGTGGTGGGCACCAAGAAGCGGGTGCTGACCCTGCGCAAGGTCAGTTACACAGGGGAGCTGCCCTGGGCGGCAGAGGGCCAGGTCCCCTGACTGCGGCCTCAGGCTGCAGCTGCGCCCATGCTGGCTGGGGAGGGTCCCTGGTACTGGTCAGCGGGGTCAGAAACCCTGGCTTCGCCTGCAGTCCCTGCTGGTGCAGACCAAGCGGCGCGCCCTGGAGAAGATCGACCTCAAGTTCATTGACACCACCTCCAAGTTCGGCCACGGCCGCTTCCAGACGGTGGAGGAGAAGAAGGCGTTCATGGTGAGCTCCTGCCTCTGCCCGCTGCCAGGGCTGGGGGCCACACCCCCAGCTGCTCCTCCCTTCTGCGGTGGGGAGGCTCCCCTGCCTGTGGCCGCCTCTAACTCCTATCCCCCTCTCTCTCCCCGCAGGGACCACTTAAGAAGGACAGGATTGCAAAGGAGGAGGGGGCCTGAAGGGGCTTGGAGTGTGCTGCATTGCAATAAAGTGACTTTCCAGGACGCCTGCGGTGCCTGCAGGGGGCGGGCAGAGGAGCTCCCAGGGGGCCAGCGGGGCCACACCGCCCTGGAGGGCACAGCAAAGGGGCCTCACATTGCCATTCCTGGGCTGTGTACAGAGGGTGGTGGAGCTTGGTCCACACAGGGCCGCCTCCAGCTCAGACTTGTTAGCTTCGCTCCCTGCCAGGGCAGTGCTGCACTGAGTCACCCCAGGTCCGCCACCGGGGACAGGGACTGCGGGGTGGCAGCAGCTGAGCGTGGGCTCAGTCACGTCTGGAGTGTTCCTGCAAGGGTCAGAGTCCATGTCTCCGGCTGTGCCCTGCTGGCTTCCACACAGCACCGGAACAGCACCAGCGCAGGCGCAGCCCGTGGGCCCCCAGGCATGCTGCGGTGTCAGGACCCCTAGCAGTGCCTGAGGAGACAGCTGGGGGGGGGGTCCTAGGGGCTGGGAGGAGGGCTTTGTGCTGCCTGCATCCTGGTGGGGAGCATTCAAGGCTGTGGCCGCCAGGGGGCGACAGCGGCACCTGGCTGTGCTGTGTGGGTGGAGTCTCCCGCAGTCCTGGGCAGGGGTGGGGGCAGCAGGCTCTTAGCCCATGCAGCTTTTTCATGTTGGTGGATCTAATGAGTCCGCCCAGCCCAGGGGGAGAGCCTGGCTTCCTGTCCAAGGCTCTACCTGTGTGACAGGGCGTGGGGTTCAGATGAGGCCCAGCTGGGGCCTCCCCCTCAGGGCAGCCCCGGGAGGGGAGTGGGCCCCTGGCCATCAATCATCCCCACTCCGGAACCTGCCTTGTCCTGGCTAGAGCCTTGAGCCCATTCTGGATCTGTCTGGAGCCCAGGACCTCAGCCACCCCACCATGGTTGTAGGTTCCAGGTTGGGGGGGGGTGCCTGGTTGCTGCAGCCCTGATTGGCCCCCCACACCCGGGACCAGCTGCAGCCTCCCTGTGCCTCCACGTGTTGGCTCAGTGCTCCTGTTTGTGACCCTCTAGGGAAAACCTAGGCAAAGGCCCTGGGGTTGGAGGTGGGCATCTGGCCTCAGCTGCTCAGGGAGGGGTTCCATGAACTTGGCCTGCAGGACAGCCCCCACCCCCCAGCCTGGCAGGCAGTGGGTATTGTGCTGGACCTGTGCCTTGTCAAGCCCCTCCCCCCCAAGTCCTGCTGTGCCAGCCCGGTGCCCAAGTAGAGCGTGCCTGCTGGGGGTTTCTGAGCAAGTGGGGACGGAGCTGGTGGCAGGCGCCACTGTTTCCTTAAAAGGACCGACAGCAGTACGCTCACCTGGCAGGTGCTGGGGCAGACCACCACGCATGGGCTTGGGCTCCTAGCTTGGGGCAGGCCCCGTCCAGAGTCTCCCTGTGTGCGCAGGCCTGTGCTGCGTGGCCTCCCCTCTGCTCTCGGCCCCTGCCCTGTCCCCCCCCCCCCCCCAGCCTGCCCTCCAGCACAGGCCCTTCCTGGCTGGCCCAGTGGACAGGGAGGCAGGGCCGGGAGGTTTGTGTGAGCGCAGCAAGCGTGGACTCCATGTCTGGTATGAAAATAATTTCACCTGTTAATTTCACTTGAAAGGCAGAGTGTCTTCCACATGCTGATTCACGCCCCTGTTGGCCTTAGCGCCTGGAGCTGTGCCGATCCGGAGCTTCCAGGTCTCCCACTTGGGTGCAGGGCCCCAAGCACTTGGGCCATCCTCCACTGCTTTCCCAGGCCACAGCAGAGAGCTGGATCGGAGTGGAGCGGCCCTGGGCTTTCACGGCTTCTCCCCGAGGCGGTGCCACTGCTGCTGGTGGCAGCGCTCGGCCTGGCTGATGTTCGGGCTCTTATTGCAGCTGCCCTGGGAGGCAGCAGCCGGGGCTCAAGTGCTTGGGCCCCTGCACCCTGGCTGTGGGCTTTCGGGGAGTGAACCAGCAAAGGGAAGCAGGTGTAAGGGGGTGGCCGGTGAGGCTGGGGAGAGAACCCCATCTGGCTCAAGGGAGGAGCAGGGAGCTGTGTGTGTGAGCCTGTTAACGCCAGCAGGCCTCCAGCCCACAGATGGAGCTGCTCGGCGGGCACCTTGGTGGCGGACCCCGCGCGCTGGGCCGGGGGTGGCTAAGGGGCCCCTCAGCTGGTGGCGGAGCAGGAATCTGAATCCAGGCTCCGCACCTGTGGGCAGCCCCGCCCCACCCCCATCCCGTTCCTCTGGCTGCCCTGACGAGGGGGCGGGGGGGTGCTCTGGGTGAGGACAAGTGGGCACTGTACCCTCTCCCAGGCTCACCCAGTGGCCCCTCTTCCTGCGGGGATGGGCTGCAGGGGTGCACCCAGCCCCTCACCCCCCAGCCTCTGGCTCCCGGGGCCCCTCTGCTGGGGACAAGGGCCGGCTTGCCCGCTTCCCCCCTCCTCGCTGGCACCACCGTGGCCCCAGTGGCTGCACCTGGCTGGTCCTCAGAGCCAGCGCTGGTCACCATGGCAATGGGTGATGAAGACTTGGCACACCTGGCTGCCTTGTCCCCCGTATGCACAGACAGCCTCGGCCTCTGCCCATCCCCATCCACCCACAAAGCCGTCTCTGGCGGTGGAAACGGGCTGGAGCCACAGCTCAGGGCCTTTCTTCCTGGGGAGCTGGCTGCTAAGCCCCCCACCCCAGGTTCAGCACTGGTGAGACGGGTTGAGCCACCGCCTGCAGCCGCTGGTATCCCATAAGGGCACCTGTTCGAGTTCACTCCTGTCCCGCACTTTGCTGTGGCCTGGGAAAGCAGTGGAAGATGGCTCAGATGCTCGGCCCCTGCACCTGCGTGGGAGATGCGGGTAAAGTTCCCGGCTCCTGGCTTCTGCCCGGCCCAGCCCCAGCCTTGCCGCCATTTATGGAGCGAACCAGCGGCTGGAAGGCCCCCTCTCAATGCTCCACAGCACCAAGCCAGCCACGGCGGTAAAACAGCAGGCGCCAGAGCTCCGCCGGGCCCCCATGGGGGAAGCGCCCTGTGCTGAGCCAAAGGAGAAATCGGGGGGGGGGGGGAGGCTGGGCAGGCCTGGGCTCACTGGGATGTGGCCTTGGCAAGGGCTACCTGGGCCTGTCTCCATCTGCAGCCCAGGGCGAGGGTGGTTTCTGACCCTTTCAGCTCAGGCTGGGGCCCCGGAAGGCAAAGGTCCTTGCAGACCGGAGAGAAAGCACCCAGGATCTGCTGTAGCAATCAGAGAGGGCTTCCCGAAAGAGGGGGGCTCGAGCCTGCGATGCCAGCGTCCCCGGTCAGTGATGGAAGAGCTAAGCGGAACAGGACGGGTTGTTTCCAGAGGAAAGAAAGGGACCCCTCAGGCAAAGCTGGGGGCACCGCTGGGTGGAGATTTGGGGTGGGGCAGGCTCCCCTTCTCCAGCCAGCACCGGGTGGGCAGGGGCCGGGGGTCCACCTGCTGGCTCCTGTGGGTGCTGGGCTCCTGGCCCCATGCCCGGCAGTGCTCATGGGTGGGGGCAGCACTAAGGAGCCCCCTCCACAGGGGAGCCTGGGCCCTGGGGAAGGGGGCAGGAGCTGGGCCTGGAATGCGCTTCTAGCTCCAATGCCACCTCTTGGAAGCCTCCCTGGGCTGCCACCCGGGTCAGGGTCCCAGCTATGGCTCTTGTGCCCTCCCCCCCCCCCCATGGTAAGCACAACATCTTCTGGGCTGCTCTGGCTCCTGCTTCCCCGGAGCTGGCAGGACGGCCACCTGGAGCCGGCCCGGGGCCATCTGCTGCTCCTGGGTCTGAGAAACTCATTAAAAGGCCTACCTGTGCAGAAGGCGGGAAAGTGCGCGCGCCGGTGGTGGGGCCTGGGGAGCGGCCGTGCCCCCCACCCCACCCCGCTGCCCCCCTGCCTCCCGCAGGCAGAGTCCGTGAGACCCCAAACTCCTGGGCCGCCGCTGTGGCCACACGTGCGGGGACGCCAGCACCCCCCGGCTGGCTCTCGGTCCTGTCCCGGTTGCTCCAGTTCTGATCCAGCCCCTGCAGGTCGGCGGCGCCAGGGCTGCTTCCCCATGGGCGACCTGGAGGACGCTCCTGGCTCCTGGCTTCAGCCTGGCCCAGCCCTTACTGTTGGCCATCTGGGGAGCGCAGGAAAGGGAAAGACCACAAACTCAAAATCCCTCTGCTCCAAGCCCCCAGAGCTCCCCTGGGGTGCACCACAACACCCACGCACCACGGTGGTCTCCTGCCCCTCCGCACACTCAGCCACGGCCACTCTGGCCTCTCATGCAGGCCTGGCTCCTGCCTCAGGGCCTTTGCACTGGCTCTCCCATTCCCAGACATCTGGAGATGCCGCCTGCTCCCCGCGCCCGCCCGCACAGTGGATTGGCCGCTGTTCTCCGGGCTTCCGGAGAAGTGGGGGTGGGCAAGGATGTGGTCTGGAGCGCGTGAGAGAGACAGAGAAGTCGGGGCGGCGGCCACTTCCACAAAAGCAAAATTAGGAGAAGCTGAAGTGAAAACGCTGGGGTGGCTGGGCGGGTCGTGAGCGGCTCTGTGGCCTGGGGACGGGAGGGGACAGGGCTGGGGCTCAGCAATCCCGCCCCTCCCCCGCAGGACAGCACGTGGGCTTGAGCTGGACTTGGGGGACACAGCCCCAGTGAGCGCAGCACCCGGGGCCTCAGTGTCGTGTCTGGGGTGTGGGGACGCCCCCAGGAACCTGCTTGCTGCCCTTGCACCCAGAGCTGATGAATGGAGGCCCTTGGGCCTGGGGCAGGGTGGGGGGAGACCCAGGCCAGCCTCCGGGCGCCAGGCAGAGGCAGATGCTGGGGGGGGCACTCAGCGGGGAGTCCCAGGAAGGCAGCTCAACTGCAGCCCTGGGCTGGGAGCCGCTGGGAGGGGAGAGGCCGAGGGCCAGCGGGAGGCACAGAGCCTGCAGGGGGGGACTGAGGGGCGAGGCTGCTTGGACTAGGGCGGCGGGAGCCACGGTGGGGCCTCGTCTGATTTCTGCTCCAGGCTGACGGGGAGATGAGGCTGTCTCCCAGGAAACACCCGGGCAGTGAGGCAGAGCAGTTTGAGTGCCCTGCGGGCGGGAGGGGAGAGTGATGCAGG